AAAAAAAAAAAAAAAGAATACTAGCTATGTGTCATAATTTTCTGTTATAAGACAGAAAAATACCTCATTTGATCTCCCTAAGTGTGAGACAAACAGGAACAGACATTACTTTTTACTGAGGGGTAAGGGACGGCTCCCAGGCACCCATCTAAAGAAATGGCACAGACTAGATAAGAACCTAAACCTGACTCCTGTACAGCAGTTCAGCAGATACCTTGCAGTTGGCAGTTTTGGTCAAGCTTGGTAGCTTCACTTTTCAGAGGCACCAGTTGCTTTAAGGAAAAGCTGTTGTTAGGGTCACTGGAAAGCTAGGACCTACTCCAGCATACTCTTCAGTACTTTGTTGTTGGCAGCTTCAAAAGGTAAATCCAAATGTGAGTGCGTGTGCAGTGAGGGGGTGGGGTGTGTGAGAGAAAGAATTTGGTAGGGGAGGGGAGGAAAATTTGCACAAAATGGTAGAATATTTCTAATATAAGTAGTGGGTGGGTTAATTTTACTGAGTGAAAGAAGATATCAGACCCTTCCTCTTCACCTCTGAATTAATGCAATTTTTGAATTAATTAAATTGAATTAAGTAAATTATGAACTTATTATTAGGTAAAATTCCTTAACGCTTATAGCTCTTCTACATCAACAAAAGTAAATTTGCACATCTATTATTGTTTTGATGCAACTAATCACCAATGGTTTTGCATTTTGGTATCCACAATCCCAATAAGGAATATGCTTGTTAACTTAAGAATTACCACATTATGTAATAAGGGTTACTACACTTCCAAAACTTTATTTGTGGGTTCAAGGTTATCAGATTGCATACTTAATCAAATCTGACAAGTGAGCAATCAAAGTAAAGTCAAGAAGTTTTAAAACTCCTTGAAGCTATTCCAGCAACTTCCAACAATATTCCTGTGGGCCCCAGTTTGAGAAACACTGGTATTATGGAAAGAGCAAGACCGGGGTGCTGAGAGAGCAGGTGTTAACACTGAGAGGTCAAATCTTGATGACGCATTATTCTTCATGCTGTTATAATACCACTTACTGCAAGAGTTCAAGTTAAATAAAACTCATATCCTTATATACACAAATGGTAGCTGCTGGTTTGGATTATAATAACAGGAATAAAGATCTGTTAAGCAGGGGCTGGTTTGTGAGATACACAGAGGTCACTAAGATCCTGCCATATCCTCAACAATCAAAATAGAGAAATCCATAAATGGAGCTGCTTTCTTTAGACATCTACTGAAATACGTGCTTCTTGTAGAAAGTAAAGGATTAATAAAACCATAAAGAATCAGCAGCTGGGGAGCAGATGTGTGAGAGTGAAAAAACAATGACCAATACCTGTGGCCAAAAGGAAAACTACGTCTTCAAATCCTTCAACACCAATGCTTGAGGCATTCTTACAAATCCGCTGAGCTTCGCTGTAACAATGCCATTTCCCACCGAGTACTTATAAGTGGCCTATTGGGTCAAGGACAAGATTGTGCAGCAGGAAACTGTGATGTTCATCCTTGCATTTGCTCACCACTGACTTATTTATACCATACAAGAAAATGGTCACACTTTAAAGGGCTCCTGAGTCTGAGGGTGCAGTGTGCAACCCTGGCCCAGCATCCCTACAATTGCCTGGACCTCACACTGCAGATGGATGCTCACAGTGGCTTACCTTTAGTGATCTGCTGCCACCAGCTGTTGGTTTGGAGGACTCTGCAAGATTTTCTTTGCCGAGATTTTCCTTGCTGAGACTGAGAGGGGAAAGTGCTAACTTCTGTGCAGCAAGGCGGGGGCTGGTCCTAGTGGCCATGGTTGTTCTCCGCAAGACATAGGGGCTAGTCTTTCCTGTTGGGATGTCGGCAAACCCTAAGGGCAGTAAAGCTGACAATCAGTACTGCTAGGTCCAGTTCTATCTACAATGGAAACAGTATTCATCAGTTAAAGTTTTAACACAGATAAAGGTAACTCCGAAAAATACTTTCTCCCAGCCACCGTGGACAATGGATTAAATTTCAGTTGCCCTGGAAGTCACCAACCCAAATAAAGAACAGGTATTCCCTTATTAGAAACATAAAAAGTCACAATGAGAAAAAAGGGGAAAAAAGTAACATTACACTGAAAAAATTTTTTCATGTTCTTCTTTTTCTTCTATGTGGATGAAGAATACCAGCAAGCCTTATAAAATTTGGATTGGAGAAAAAAAGATAAAATGGAAAAGAAAAAGAAAAAGGCCAGCTCTTGTTTAAAGGGGGAATAGCTACTTCAGGTGACCACTCTGATGGGGGGACTGACCTTGCTGTTAGTAATCTCACACTCGCTCCCATCGTCTCCTTCCATGGGAGGATCTGACATGACTTTTGATGACCAAAAGAAAGTTGATCCCAACAAGTCTAAAAGTCAGCATATCTCATGTACTCTAGACCAGCATTCAGGGCTAACTAAAGCAGGATTTGTTTTTGTTTTTAACCCTTTAACTACAAATACAAATCACCAATGAGATAGCTAACTATTTGGGGGCTACAGTTACTCAGAACAGTACTTCTTAAACCATCAATGGCAAAGAATCAGTTTTGATTTTTTTTGGTTGGGGGAGGGGAAATTTCCAATCTGCAGTGGAATGATAGCTTTGCAAAATATAGTAAGAATGAATCAATTAAAAAAAGAAAATGATTACCTGATGCTACAATAGAGTTAAATTGCTATGAAAATTTCTTACTCTCAATTTCTATGTTTTTTTTTTTTTTTTGTCATGGACCAGTCAGTAACAAACAGTTCCAGACTAGCACCAGTCTCTGGGCCAACTTGGGGAGGTTAAAAAGTAAAATAAAATGTGGTCAGTGGCTCCAGCCAGGGTACCAACAGCACCAGGCCCATCCCGTACCTGCTAGCTGGGTCAGACATAACTAAAAGCAGGAAAGCTTGAAGGGTGTCCTTGATTTGGGGACTTTTTCAGCATAGAAATATCAAATTCTAAACAGGTTTTGGACAATTTTCACATCTATCAGCTCTCTTGGTTACGTGACATGAGTAGCTGGATCCTAGTCATTCTGTAATGACAGACAGCAAAATGTATACCTTACCAATTTAAAAGCAAACTACTGTTTCTGAAGGTTAATTAGGATTGTTGTACTATCACCTAAAAGTATATGCACCTATCTTTTTATATGTGAATTTTTACATGGAATTTCAAAAGAACACAATTTTTTTTTAATTATGCATACCTTTTTTTACAACTTCTGGAAGTCCCTCTGGCTCAAGGTCAGTATCTTCTATGTCCTCTGCAGGGTGAATACCACTTTTGACTGCTTTCCTACTTTTTTTAGAAAATGTCTCTGGAGTAGAAGGTGTTGGTCCTCCACCATTCTCCAAAATCCCACTGGACCTTTGCCTCTTGCCTGAAACTTTATTTTGGCCAGATGATAACTTCTTTTCGGTAACAGAAGGGATTGGAGATGTTCCAGGAATAACTGGATTTAGCAAAGGAAAACTTCGAAGATCGTGTTTAGATAGTTGTGAACTCAGACGAGCAACTTGTGTTTCTAACACCTCTTTAGCTTTCTCTAACTTTTCATGGCTTATAAGCAGGGAACAGTACTTATCCAAGTATTCATCTGCCTCCCTGGTTTTTTCTTCGAGAGTTTCTTTCAGTTCTTTCACCTCAGTCATTAATTCATCTACGTTAGCATCCACAACAGCACCTGTTCAAAAGAAAGTGACACATCATAGGGAACTTGATGCTTCTCTAGCTTACACTGGGCATCAGGAGATAACCTTAGACCTGCTCTAGGATTTTTTTGGAGGGGTAGGGAAGATATATTTGTGTATGTTCTTACAGATCTACCACTCTTATTAGGGAGGCACTGTATGATCAGGGAGACAGAAGGGTGCCAATGACGAGGCAAGTCCTGAAAAGCTCTGAGTCCATTTGGGACGATGGAGGGTCTGATGGACAGGAGCTTGGGAAAACACTGTAANAGGGGCTGGTTTGTGAGATACACAGAGGTCACTAAGATCCTGCCATATCCTCAACAATCAAAATAGAGAAATCCATAAATGGAGCTGCTTTCTTTAGACATCTACTGAAATACGTGCTTCTTGTAGAAAGTAAAGGATTAACAAAACCATAAAGAATCAGCAGCTGGGGAGCAGATGTGTGAGAGTGAAAAAACAATGACCAATACCTGTGGCCAAAAGGAAAACTACGTCTTCAAATCCTTCAACACCAATGCTTGAGGCATTCTTACAAATCCGCTGAGCTTCGCTGTAACAATGCCATTTCCCACCGAGTACTTATAAGTGGCCTATTGGGTCAAGGACAAGATTGTGCAGCAGGAAACTGTGATGTTCATCCTTGCATTTGCTCACCACTGACTTATTTATACCATACAAGAAAATGGTCACACTTTAAAGGGCTCCTGAGTCTGAGGGCTGTGCAGCAGGAAACTGTGATGTTCATCCTTGCATTTGCTCACTACTGACTTATTTATACCATACAAGAAAATGGTCACACTTTAAAGGGCTCCTGAGTCTGAGGGTGCAGTGTGCAACCCTGGCCCAGCATCCCTACAATTGCCTGGACCTCACACTGCAGATGGATGCTCACAGTGGCTTACCTTTAGTGATCTGCTGCCACCAGCTGTTGGTTTGGAGGACTCTGCAAGATTTTCTTTGCCGAGATTTTCCTTGCTGAGACTGAGAGGGGAAAGTGCTAACTTCTGTGCAGCAAGGCGGGGGCTGGTCCTAGTGGCCATGGTTGTTCTCCGCAAGACATAGGGGCTAGTCTTTCCTGTTGGGATGTCGGCAAACCCTAAGGGCAGTAAAGCTGACAATCAGTACTGCTAGGTCCAGTTCTATCTACAATGGAAACAGTATTCATCAGTTAAAGTTTTAACACAGATAAAGGTAACTCCGAAAAATACTTTCTCCCAGCCACCGTGGACAATGGATTAAATTTCAGTTGCCCTGGAAGTCACCAACCCAAATAAAGAACAGGTATTCCCTTATTAGAAACATAAAAAGTCACAATGAGAAAAAAGGGGAAAAAAGTAACATTACACTGAAAAAATTTTTTCATGTTCTTCTTTTTCTTCTATGTGGATGAAGAATACCAGCAAGCCTTATAAAATTTGGATTGGAGAAAAAAAGATAAAATGGAAAAGAAAAAGAAAAAGGCCAGCTCTTGTTTAAAGGGGGAATAGCTACTTCAGGTGACCACTCTGATGGGGGGACTGACCTTGCTGTTAGTAATCTCACACTCGCTCCCATCGTCTCCTTCCATGGGAGGATCTGACATGACTTTTGATGACCAAAAGAAAGTTGATCCCAACAAGTCTAAAAGTCAGCATATCTCATGTACTCTAGACCAGCATTCAGGGCTAACTAAAGCAGGATTTGTTTTTGTTTTTAACCCTTTAACTACAAATACAAATCACCAATGAGATAGCTAACTATTTGGGGGCTACAGTTACTCAGAACAGTACTTCTTAAACCATCAATGGCAAAGAATCAGTTTTGATTTTTTTTGGTTGGGGGAGGGGAAATTTCCAATCTGCAGTGGAATGATAGCTTTGCAAAATATAGTAAGAATGAATCAATTAAAAAAAGAAAATGATTACCTGATGCTACAATAGAGTTAAATTGCTATGAAAATTTCTTACTCTCAATTTCTATGTTTTTTTTTTTTTTTTGTCATGGACCAGTCAGTAACAAACAGTTCCAGACTAGCACCAGTCTCTGGGCCAACTTGGGGAGGTTAAAAAGTAAAATAAAATGTGGTCAGTGGCTCCAGCCAGGGTACCAACAGCACCAGGCCCATCCCGTACCTGCTAGCTGGGTCAGACATAACTAAAAGCAGGAAAGCTTGAAGGGTGTCCTTGATTTGGGGACTTTTTCAGCATAGAAATATCAAATTCTAAACAGGTTTTGGACAATTTTCACATCTATCAGCTCTCTTGGTTACGTGACATGAGTAGCTGGATCCTAGTCATTCTGTAATGACAGACAGCAAAATGTATACCTTACCAATTTAAAAGCAAACTACTGTTTCTGAAGGTTAATTAGGATTGTTGTACTATCACCTAAAAGTATATGCACCTATCTTTTTATATGTGAATTTTTACATGGAATTTCAAAAGAACACAATTTTTTTTTAATTATGCATACCTTTTTTTACAACTTCTGGAAGTCCCTCTGGCTCAAGGTCAGTATCTTCTATGTCCTCTGCAGGGTGAATACCACTTTTGACTGCTTTCCTACTTTTTTTAGAAAATGTCTCTGGAGTAGAAGGTGTTGGTCCTCCACCATTCTCCAAAATCCCACTGGACCTTTGCCTCTTGCCTGAAACTTTATTTTGGCCAGATGATAACTTCTTTTCGGTAACAGAAGGGATTGGAGATGTTCCAGGAATAACTGGATTTAGCAAAGGAAAACTTCGAAGATCGTGTTTAGATAGTTGTGAACTCAGACGAGCAACTTGTGTTTCTAACACCTCTTTAGCTTTCTCTAACTTTTCATGGCTTATAAGCAGGGAACAGTACTTATCCAAGTATTCATCTGCCTCCCTGGTTTTTTCTTCGAGAGTTTCTTTCAGTTCTTTCACCTCAGTCATTAATTCATCTACGTTAGCATCCACAACAGCACCTGTTCAAAAGAAAGTGACACATCATAGGGAACTTGATGCTTCTCTAGCTTACACTGGGCATCAGGAGATAACCTTAGACCTGCTCTAGGATTTTTTTGGAGGGGTAGGGAAGATATATTTATGTATGTTCTTACAGATCTACCACTCTTATTAGGGAGGCACTGTATGATCAGGGAGACAGAAGGGTGCCAATGACGAGGCAAGTCCTGAAAAGCTCTGAGTCCATTTGGGACGATGGAGGGTCATGTATGTTCTTACAGATCTACCACTCTTATTAGGGAGGCACTGTATGATCAGGGAGACAGGAGGGTGCCAATGACGAGGCAAGTCCTGAAAAGCTCTGAGTCCATTTGGGACGATGGAGGGTCTGATGGACAGGAGCTTGGGAAAACACTGTAAGGGCAGGAGTCTTACTCAACATACACCTGCCATGGTTGGCATCGAATCCATTAGGAAACCTCCCTGGATGCCAATCTATGCTGGGCCTCCTTCCCAGCAGTGAAGACTACTGGCAAGCCCGCCAAGCTCCAGTGCAGAGGAGCCCCACACTGTGCATGCCACCATCCACTCACACAGTGAGCACGCTCCACTCTTGGGGTATAAGTGGAGAAATGTGACAAGGACAGTCATCTTTTCTTTCCTATTTTGCCTGCAAACCCAAAAATACAGTCTCCCACCCCTTCCCTTTAGCTGACCCTTGAAGATGTGAAAGGATAACCAGAATCAGCTATTTCAACCTGACCAATGCCAACTCAGATGTCAATGTGCCTCTGTCAAAGAAACGACTAAAATGGACATCCACGTGAAAAAACTCTTCTTAGAATGGCTCATGAGCAAAAAGTACCACCAGTTTTTTGCATTTCTTATAGAACATAAGATGCAATAATTCTATGTTAAAACACAGGCTTCACTTTGAATCCTATAATGAACCCAAGCTGAGCACAAAATTCAGAAATTTGAAAATTGCTGGAAATCAGCACTAATAGAACAGAGCACTTAAAACACTTCCGATGCATGTATACCATAAGCATGTATTTCAGTACTGGAAGATAGTTCTGGCTAACTGATGCACCCCAGCTAATGCCCACCTGTTTTGTGCTTGTCCTGTGCAGCTTCAAGTTGAGACAGCTCTTTCTGTAACATTTCCTTTTCCTCTTCCAGTTGTTTACAGGATTTGATCAACAACTTTATTTTCCCCTGGGTGCGTTCATTTTCCTTCTTCAGCTGATTTACATATTTTTGATTGTCCATCTACAAAGCAAAAGTAATTCCATTTAAAACCTTGAATTTCTTTTTTTTTTTCTTTTTTTTTTTCCTTTTTGTCTTTTTTTGTGACCGGCAACGGATTGCAACCCTCAGTGTCACGCCCGGACCGGGACCGGCAACGGGATCACAACCCTTGGTGTTGCTCCCACGCTTCGCTCAGCGAGTGACCCAGCGGTCTGTTTGTGGGGTACGAGCCCTTGGCGGGAGCCCCGCCGCACTCCCAAGTGGCGCACTGTAGCAGTGCGCCACCGGGGCCGGCCCTTGAATTTCTTTTTTTTTTTCTTTTTTTTTTTCCTTTTTGTCTT